AAAAAACAATAACTACTCAGCTGTTAAAAAACAGAATTCCTATTGTCTTCGTCTCTTACATTGTAACGTTTTTTTAATTATTATTTTGATCATAGCAGTTTGAAATTTTACTCAGTATAAAGGCTTAATAACATGCAATTATTTAATTTTACATTATACATCTAATATTATCGTATTTCTAGACATTTTTGTAAGACAAATATGATAAAGCTGATAAAAATTTTTTAACATTTATTACTCTATGTTGTCAAAATGATAAAAAAAAAAATATTCCCTATACAGCCCATTGTGAGCCAGGGCGTGATGAAAGATAAGGCTCCTCAATTTCATGACCAATGGCATGATTGTGGCAATGTGATAAGCACTGCTCACAGGCCACCTTTATTAACTAGACAAACTGGCCCCAATCGTTCTGAAGTTGGTTGTGCTTAAAGCCGCCAATGGGGCTTCAAACCAAGTTCTTCATTATGACAGTTCAATGCCTTAACTACTGAATATTCTTGGCTCAAAAAGTTGATAAAGGTTAAGAGATATTTGTATGCCAAAACTGTTGCAAATGGGTACGAAATATGCAACTATTATACTTTAAATTTGTTTTTAAATAAGCACACAAAGAGATCATTTCAGAATGAAGTTTAAATTGCAACGTTAACTGAAAAGTTTTAACTAACCTGTTCATGATTTTTTAGCCATTTATTATTTTTATTTATCAATGTTGTAATATTACACTGTTTAATGAGAATAACATAATTTTTAGAAACATATAAAGTATATCATTAAATTTAGTACTGATATAACAGTGATACGAATTCTTTGCTGCTTTCGGGATCTTCCAATAAGCTTTCTGTTTCTGTAAAATTTATCATGAATATTGGCAATTTGAAGCAATACTTTTTCGATATTTTTTGTAAGAGGTCATAAAAATAACAAATAAAATTATAACTTGTTCTGATGATGGGGACAGAACTTATGCTAGTAAAGGAAATACTCTTTGTTGTAATGCTCAAAATAGGACTAGTTTTGATGATAGAAATAACTATATTTATATGTTTACGTTGTTCAGATTTCTCAGCCAAGCTTTAACTTTGTAGTTTGCAAGTCTGAATTTAAGACATTTTAATATATCATTAGTTTTTTTATTCACTTTTAATACCTCTAAATGAGAAAAAAAACTTGATAAACAAGGTTATGGTTAGAGGAATTTATTTAAAAAAAAAATACTAAGAAATAGTTTGTTGTTAATTTTCCTGCGAAAAAAAGAGGAAAATTATTATTTGAAACCCAATCTCTGGATGTTTTCGTAAAACATTATGACAAAGGATTTAGGATAGAGTGAGAAAAATATTTATTTGATAAAAAAAATATTATATTTAAACAAAATCTTAAGTTAAAACTTATCTGGAAATAGTAATAAGGAATAGTGAAAATATTGTGAATTACTATTATATTGCTTCAGTCCCCTGGATACATATGTAAAAAAAATATGCAATATGGTTTAGAATAGAGTAAACAAAATATATGTTTACAATTGTATTCAGGACATGATGTTTGAAAATATATTTCCCTTTCGAGAATTGTAGATATTTTTTTAAGTTGGCGAGGACGCACTCTGATAAATGCTTACTCTCCCTTCGAATCTTTTATTCCATTTTAAAGAAGTTGGTGGAAGAAATTTTCTCCTTTAGCGCGTCGTTGGAAAGCAAGTAGAGCTTTTTTACCCTCATGTGGCACATAATACTATTTCCATTGGGATCTGAAGATGCTTCTGATTTATTTCAACCATATTTTATCATTTCGATTCATTTTGCTGTGATATTGTTCTAAAACTTTAAGTTCTTTGCCAGTCTTTCAAAGTTTAAGTCTGATGAAATAACGAATTGAGAGGTTTTATATAAATTCTTTTCTACAACTTTTGAAATTCGAAAAATCAAAAAGGTTTAATGAGTATAAGAGGAAGTCTTTTTTTTATCAAAATCTAGATTATTAAAATATCTTTTTACAAAACGCCTAATGCTCATTTTTATTAATATAGTAAAAAAATAACTATTAAAACTATTAATTAACTCAATCAATCTCTTCAATTGAGCAATTGAAATGTATGAAAAAAATATTATTGAATAGATCCATATGGAACATCTATATAAAAAATATTGAACATATAAATTTGAAATATATGGATGTATACAACTTCAGTTTTAATTCCACATTTATATAACATATGATTAACGCCTCAATTTTTTTAATGGCTAGATCATATTTTTAAGAGATACTATGCTCAGAGCTATGCATAGTTTATAAAATGAAAAGGTGCTTACATACAATACGACAACTGCTCTAATCTTTATAATAATAATTATAAATTTTTCCTTTTACTTATATTTGTAACAATTTCTATTTTGAAATATTTTACGATAAAACCCCCCAAAAAATAAATATTCCAAAATCCTAATGTATATATTCCGAAAAAATATTTATTAGGAAGAAGATGGGCAATTTAATGTTTTAAATAAAACAAAATTGTCCGAAATACATGGTATTTAAGCACTTATTAAGAAACAATACGAATTCAGATTTTAGTTTTAAAAAAAGTTGCGAATCGAAAATTGACATTACAAAAATAAGGATACTAAACAGGAGGGAAAAAATAATTACTTACAATAAAGTTATAAAAATGTATACATAAACGCTTATATACTTTCAAAGTAGCCGAGCTGGTGCGTAACTTAAATTAAAATAAAAATCTAAACTCTAAAAAGAAATCTGAAATATATAGAAAAAGAATTTTTTATTACTTTTAAAAAACGACTGTAAATGCATGGCTAAACAACCATGTTATTAATTAACATAATCAAATACAACAAGAGACACAACAAATGAAAACCCCCATCAATTACAAAGTTAAGCAGGATTGCGATTAGCATATAAATTGAATCTGTGTATTGAAAATATTTTGAGTAATCTTACATTTGATTTCATTTTTCTTTATATCCATTGCAAATTTGTTCTTTTACAAATTTTGAAATAAGAATTACAAAATAATTAGTTTTGAAAGATCTTGATTTCCTTAAAAAGATAAATAATTAAAAAAAGAAAATGAAGGTAATTTTTTGATATTCGAAAAAAAACTAGTGTTCCATGGCATTAAAATATAATTAAAAGAAAGATAACTTAATATAGAAGGGAAGGAAAAAGTTATTTTAATTCAGAGCTTTGTGTATGAAAAATTTTTTAAGATTCTCAAATGTTTTTGCATTATTTTTTTGACAAAAGAATTCTAATTCTGTCTCCACAAAAGGAATTGAAAAACTAAATTTTTGAGATAATACCTTCTCTTAGAGAAGTAAATCTGAATTCATCGTAATTCATGCTCGTAAGTTTAATAACAATTAATTTAAATTAATAAGTAAATTATTATTAGTGCATTGGTTATAAATGCTTGCAAATAGTGGTATTCGCAGTTACTTTATTCAAAAAATAAACGAAAACAATAAAAACTTTTTAAAGCTTTTAAGGTAATTATTAACTGAACACAATAAATTTAAAAACGTTGTTACTTTAAACAATTAAAATGTATTTCTCAGTTCCTTTTTTATTAAAATCTGGCACTCTTTTCTTATAAGGGAGCAAAATTTAGGGCCACTTATCAGCCATGGACAAAATTTCCAAAGAGTTATTAAAAATAATGATAAATATAGAATTTAGATTAATTATTTTAAAACTACACAAAATATAACGACCTCAAAGATAATAGTATGTGTTGATTAATTCATTTTTAAATGAAAGTCGTTAATTGAAGAGTACCACTACATTTAGTAGTTAAATCTAATATTTTCATGATAAAAAATTAAAAGTAAATAACTATGAAATTATCTTACAAGAATATTTGAAACATTTTCAGGTTTTTTTCATAATAACTTAAAAGAGTTTCACCATGGAAAATTTTCCCATTTTTCTCTTCTTTAATTTTAAAAAATTAAACTCTTAAACCATTTTCTAGATATTGATAACAATAATATCCAATTTGAACTTAGATATCCAATTTCTTATAATTTATTTCATTTTATTATTATCAATCTGGACACAAAATTTTTATTTAAACTTGGAATTAAAAATTAATAAAAAAAGTTTTTTTTTACAATTTGCTGTTTTCACAAGTTCGTTTTCGCCTACGTTTTGGTTAAGGAATTGGCTATGCACATGTTTTAGTCTTACAAACAATACATAAAAGTTGAGTTTACATTATGAAATTACTTTTTTTTAGAAATTAGATATTGCTTGCATCAAAAATAGATTAAAAAATCTGCTAAGCGTAGAATCATATTGTTGGCCATTTAAACCACAATGTTGGGCTTATTTGACGTTTACACACGTTCAAACTTATATCATTTAACGTGTCGTACTCCAGAAATGTATTTAGACATTTTCTCTTTGCGGATACGTGCATTTAAACATACTAATTTTAACGCTTATTAATCTTCGCACGTGATTTTGTAATTACGTATTTTATTTTAAACCTTTGTTGAACAGCCGACACAAATTTTAAATTTATGGTTACCAATGTTCAATTCCATAGCTTTGTAATTTTGAACCTATTCCAGAAGATAAGGAAATTTCTGGATCAAGTTTTAGGAGAAATTTTGACCTTCGTGGCGGACTTTTTGTTGGAACGTACCCATATTTGCGTTACATGGAGAGGAAACCCCCGAAAGCCACCCACGGTTAACCAGATGGCAGGGGGACTCAAACCCATGATTCGTCTACCATTGAGGCTAAATTTACGTCAGCAATGTTGTCGGTGCAAGCCGAATGCGGAATTTACGTCTACCAGTCATCACTGAGATTCGAACCCATTTACATCTCATTAGAAATCGAACGCTCTATTCCATCACGGTTATGTAAGTATGTATTGGAATTACGTAATTATGTTTAATTATTAATTGTAATTTGTAGTTAAGTATTGTATCCTTGTTAATTTTCCAAAAAAATTACTCTTAACTTACCTAGAACAAATCCATCTTTACTCCACTGTACGCTTCCAGCTTGATTACCAATCCTACATTGAAGTTCGACTGTCTGTCCTTGCACTACATCCGTGTTTTGAGGCTTTACCCTAAAGTATTGCTGTTGACCTGCTGGAACAAAAATAAAACTTTAGAATAAAGTAAAACAACTTATTTATGAGTAATAAAGTATGAAAAAAAAAACATTTTGCATATCTAGAAAAAGGACAACGGACACGGTGCCTGCAACCATGTTATATCAAGTACACCAATAAAAAATATGGACAAAACTGCCAGAATGTGGTAAAATTAACCATACTTCTGACTCAACAGGAACACCAAAAAGCTTGGCAATTTTAACAAAAGAGCTTTGGCAATGATTTTAGTAACACTTACAATAAAATATGGTTTAATAATCTTGGATAAATTTTGGTAAACGTGATAAAATTATAAGAGCAATAACTTTGATAATCAGAATTTTCGCTAAACCATTATAATATAAACGGGAAAACTACCAAATCAATTTTTTAAATACAGTTGCATTGTAATTTCAGTAACCAAAGTTAAGTTTTTTTCTACTGGAAACGTCATTACACAATGCGGTAATTTAACCAGAATTTTTACAGCATGTAAATTTACTGAAATCTCAATAGAGTGTTTGGATTAAGGGTGTTTAACAATAAACTTTAGTTTAGGAAAATAAATAAATAAATAAAAAAATTTGAGTATTTTTAATTTGAATTTCGCCTCTATTTTAAATAATCTATATTTTTTTCAGCTGAAAAAATTATCTGGATCTGTTTAAATGAAGTCATTGATTAAGCGTTATAAATATCATTATACTTTCAAGAAAACATCACCAATTTGGAGATAATTTTGGAATAGTATTAAAATTTATAAAAATCACTAAAAATGCTTTAACTTTTATATATTATTATAGGTCTGGACAGTCAGGATTAGTCAAATACTTTAAAAAAAGGTTCTTAAATACTTCCTCATATTGATATTTCTTGCCATTTTCATCACCAGCAGACAGAAACTTGAGCTAATAATGAAGAAACGTAACATTTTCAAGCTCACAGCAATAGCATATTATTCTCTTATATGTTTATAAATGCTTCTTCACATCGATGTTTTGCGCCATTTTCATCTCCAGCATACAAATACGCTTGCTAAAAATAACGAAACTTAACATTCCCAAGCTAACAACAGCATATTATTCTCTAAAAAGCTTTATTTCATGTGACGCCAGAGCCTGCTAATACACGCGAGAAAAAGCTTTAAGCGTATATCACTGCAAAGTTTTGTGCAATCAAGTTTTAAAAAAAATAATTTACATGGCAAGATTTCAATACAAAATCTGATTAAAGTTGCCTTTGTGAAAATGGTTCAACAAGCGTCATTATCATAGCAATACAATAGTAAATTCTCAAAAATAAAGTTTTTGAACTAGGAAAGGATTCATGTAAGTAAACTAGATATTTGTAATCCACAATACGTTTTGAATTGCAATAGTGACAGTCCCGAAGGCATACAGGAAAGTTAGTAAGTCTTAGAATCTGGCATTTGTATTTATTTTTATCATCGATTGTATCGATAAGAATAAAAAGCATGACACTAGAGCATTTAGAAAAGAATTCTTATTTTTCGAATTTATATCGAAAAATAAATCCTTTTGGTGCACTTTACTTCACGAAACGCTTGGGAGAAATATATCTCTTTTAAGAAGCAACGATGGAAATAGACAAACAAGCTACTAGCTATGAAATAAATGGCGGATGAAAGAAACTTTTCTTTATGTCCTTAAAGTCCTTACAAAAGAGAAGTCGATAAAGTTCCAAGATCTAAATTATTAGCGAAAAAGAAACTCACAAAAAAATGGAACAAAAGCGATATGAGAAATGTAAGAGCATTTGACGCTGCAAATAAATCTATATTCATATCTTTCAGGAGCATTTAAAGGAAGAAGCCGATTGATATATTGAATAAAAAGTAAGTCCAATTTCAAATGGAAAGTATGATTCCATCGGAAATTTAAAAACGTTAACTTTCCAATATAACTTGAAACTAGTGATAGCGTTATTAAAAATTTTATTCTAAGTTTCATTGGTCGTTCGCTTTCTTTAAATGCACCAACGAAATTGAAACTGATTTCTGTGTTACCAGACGCCGTATTAATAAATGTGTTGCTATAATGTAACTGCAAAAATATGTAGTTATTTAATTTGAAAAAGAATTAAATAAGTGTGATTATTTACTTGTTTAATGAAAATAATGCAAATAATAAAATATTTTATTCTGTCTGAATTAATTTAGACGTTATATTTCATTTAAATTCTGATACAATTCAAAATTGCAAAAAGGGAGTCAATTTATGATCGTAAATTTAAAATTGCATTATTAAAACTCCTATTCTCAATTTCTTTGATTAATTGTTCGTATTATTCTAGAATTTCAATAATATTCAAACTCATTTCAGCATCCACTAATGGCATTCAAAAAAAAGTAATTTAATAAACTGTAGTAAATATATTGTTTTAAAAATACAATTTAAGTGAATAATGAAATAAAAAAATTTCCTTAGAGAAATTGAAGTTGTGAGGACACCATGATTAAATTCAAATTATATAATTATGCACTACATTGTATTTGTGATGTTCAACGATTTAAACATTTAATGAAAATATTTCCTCACTTTTTAAATTTTTCAAAACTTGTATATATTTGAAATTTTTGGTTGCCTTTTATTATTAAAACAATGTTACTGTCAACTGTAAACTCTGTGCTTATTCTAAAATATTAATCTGAACATGTAATTATTGAAAAAATAAAATAAAATAAGTGTATTAATTTAAAATAACGCATTAAACATTTCTTTAGTTAAAAATATTGAAACTTTAATACATTTTTATGTCTGCAAGAACTCAACCATCAATAATCATTTTCTCAATCAAAATGTACCTATAACTTTTCATTACGATTGTTTTTATTTTTATATAAACAGCTATTTAAATGCAAATGTTATAAAATAATTATTAGATGAAAGAAATATTCTTTGATGTAAATCATAATAGTTAATTGGTTGTAAATATCACATTTTCTTTAGAACTGAGTCACACTTATAAAGAACGATCTTTGTTTTTTGTATTCCACTAAAACTCAATGATGCAGTTCGTTCACAGTTTACACACTAGATGGCAGTAACAGTTCCAAAACCCGTCCTGCCGTCACAGTTCTTGAACGGATACTTTCACCCTAATTTGTATATTGATGGTGAAAGAGTTGAAAGTTAACGGTATGCAGGCACTTAAAGAGGAGAAAATGAGCTTTTTCCGGCTATTGAAAGATATGCGTAATCGTCACATTTTATGCGGATGAAGAAATTGAAACAACCGAAAAGTCTTATCAGTATATTCAATCGTACAATAGATGCCACAGTGGAATTATTTTAGTTTTCACACAAAGCTGTTTAGAATTCACAACTTTACAACATCTGAATTTTTATTTATTTTATCGTTTCTCTAAATATTATTTGACTTCAAAAAGATTAGGAATTAATAAATAAAAAGATGTTTTTTGTTTTTATTGAGCTAAATACTTTTATTTCACGCGTACTTTTCGCGCAGTATGTTTAAATTAAGATATTAGTCTTTATTTAAATATGTTTTTTCGCCTTTAAAAAATTTGTGTTCTGCGTTTAACGGTTGATAATTCGATTGATTCTATTCATAATTTTCAGGTGACGTCATTATTCTTTATTCGATAATAATTCTTTTACCAATATATTTAAATATTTCTTTCAGAAAAATAAGTAAAAATAAATAGTTAAAATCATACAGATATACAAACTACAATTATCGATCCTTACAAACTTAGGGGATACTCCTATTGAAAGTGGTTTAATCGTTCTACTTTAAATGCACAATTCAAATTCTCAATGTCTAAATGTATATTTTATATGAATTTTTATTTTGATTAAAAAAAAGTTACAAAAATATTGTTAGCAAGGCATAGGAAAATATATTTTTATTGAAATGAATTGTTTTAAAAGTATTTGAATTCTACGCAAATTCGTTTATTTATAACAAAAAAGGGAAAGAAAGAATATCTCTACCCTTTTCTGTAGATGAAAACCGATCGAACAGATCGGTCTGTTTTTGAACGGCATGGATAGAACAGTTTGGAGAGGGTTCCAAAAGCTCCGAACTGACCCATTTTAATCACTTATTGTAATAATCTAAATTTTATATTATTTAACTGTTGCTGCATCAAAAAAACACCAGTCATATAAATATAAATTTTTTTGTCTTTTAAAAGGCACTACCATCAATAACAGAAACATTTTCACAACTATTCAGCAAAATAAATCAATGCTATAGAACGCTTTTATTTCCCTATCCTAAATAATACTATAAAACTATTCTTATTTCTTAAATAACCTCATTAATGCATACAAGAACTGGATTAAGTCTAATGTATTATATGCATTGATAAATCAAAATCATTCAAAATTATGTGTAACTGTTTATGAAAAAATACCAGGCTAATATAATCTTCACCACTTAATAATAATATTTTGTTCACTTTAAAGGCAATAACTATTTACTGAAACACTTTCACGGTTAATAGAACTAAGACAAGGTAAAATATAATTTTTTTTCACTCGTAAAGTATATCTTAAAAATTTTTATCGCATTTAATAGCCTCACTATAGCAGGACAAAGCGAATCCAATGCAGCACATGAGTCAACAGGCATGTATAACTCAATATTATACTGAATAGATGTTATTGTTGCTGCGTCAAAAAGTACCGGGCATAAAACCGATGCTTTTTTTGTCCACTTTAAAAACACTAACCATTCATAAAAGAAACACTTTCACTATTATTCACCAAAATACATAAGACGAGGTCAAGTAATCATAAAAAAAATGTTTTATCCTTTAGTAGCCTCATCAATGCAGACAGGAACAAATCCGATGCAGCATATACGTTGACAGGCTTGTAACTCAATATCAATCATAAGAAAGATAGACAGAAAAATCTGGAATTCAACCTTCTTGCTTGAAGTACGGTAGAGATTGAAGTCATAATTTCGCCCAAGAAATGGCTAGACAAGGAGGTTTTAAATTGG